ATATATATATATATATATATATATATATACACACACATATATATATATACACACACACACACACACACAGTATATATTACACTACTTGTGATTTGAGGCCATTATAGTTTGTTAAAAACTGTCTATACAACATTCAGGATAAAGTAAAGCCAACAAACGTGATTTTTATTCATTTCTTAGACGTCATCATCAGAGATACAGAGGAGCAACGTCACAATGTGCAGCGCTGCGGTCTGGTGATCAGAGACGATCGTAGCGATCAGTGTTTTCTTTTTCATGGTGAGACTTCAGATTGTAAAGGACCGAGCAGAGCGGTGGAGTATTTACCTCAGGTGTGAAAACTACAGCGGACACGACAACCTTTCTCCTCACAGAGTAAAAAATAGTCATTCCTTTTCAGTGTACAAAAGACTTGCTTGGGGATAAAAGAATGCCAACAAAAGACACATTTAATCATTGGGTGAAAGATAAAAGGAGGGAATACATGTTTATACAACTAGAGAATCAGACGCTCTGCAGGTAATGATTGAAAAAGATTCACTCTAAATAACAGAAAGGTTTGAGTAGAGGGACGTGAAACAATATCACGTGACAAAGGTTTGCGGACGCCATTGACCTTTCAGGTTTACAGGGCCTTCGGTGAGCAATGGTAATTGATGTTTGGACTGCTACCACAGTAACCATCCCGTAACAAGGAAGCGGTGGTGAAAAGGGCGAGTACGTATTCAAATTCCTCAGCAGCTCTACTGCTGCAGGCCAGTCAGACGAAAAGTAAAAGGGCAGCCATTGTAATGCTCGGGGGGGGGGGGGGGCTGTTAAAAAGGTGGCAGCAGGGGGCATTGTGGGATACACAAAGGAGGACTCTGAAGAAGTGCAGAGGAGCGACATTTGTGTCCAGGTTGGAGGAACAGCATCTCTACAGCTGTTCATGTTGCAAAATAAGGTGGTGTGTGTAAACAGCCTAATGCAAATGATCCAAGTGTAAACAAACGTTGATTCAAGTAATTAAACCTTGAGACAAATGTTGAGGAATTATTCCTCGGTTTGAAATGATAGTTTTATAAATCTTATAAACAGTTAACATAGTAGATTCTTTTTCAACAATCTTTGTGATTTTAAGAATATTTTGAATGGGTATCACAGTCTTCACTTAAGGTGCACTTACGAGCTCTTAATCGTGTTAAACTGCATGGTTTACAAGGTGAATTTTCATGCTCAAATTTATTTCAGGTCAAGTAAAAGTTATTACTTCAGAGCTGAATCACAGCTGTATCAATTAGCAGAAAGAAAATTAGTACATTTTGACAACATCAAATCTCAAATGTGCTTAGAAAACCAGCAAGTTACTTCCATAATGAAAAATAAAATGAACATATCTTTGGGTTTGGACAAAATAAGCATCTTGAAAATGTCTACTTGGGCTTCAGGATGTTATTCTGTGACGGGCAATTTTCACTATTTTTTTTGCAGAATCAGGACCTTTAGGCCACACACACAGTGGCATGTCACACTGGGCCTTTTGTGTCATCAGCTCATCACCTTCATTTGCATCACAAGGAACAGGAAGACATCCGCCGCATGTCAACACTCTCCGATAAAAGATACGGATGCTCGGACCATTTTAAAACATCTGCGCGCTCGCACACTTCAGTCTTTTACTCTTCATCTTTCAATGCTATGTAAACATATTGATAGTCAGAAAAATACTATGTCTATACATTATGTACAAAGTGTAACAGGAGTTGCTGCTTCAGCTCCGTGCGATGGAATGTAGTAACAGTTTCTACTCTCCTTTTACAATCGAGAAGTTTCTACTGGTGATGGGTCGGTTACATTAAGCTTTAAGGCGACGCACTGTTGTGAGTGCTGCTGCCATCAAGGCAATGGCACAATGCAGTTTGAAAGGCAAGTGGTGTGAAATGATCAACAGGGCTGAATTTTAGCTACAGTTTGTGCCTCTCGTGTCAAACCATAACATACGAGTAATGGAGCTGAACATCTTTACAAGATAAATAATGTACATTTCTCATCCAGGTAGCAGGAAATGAGAATAGTTCTTCCTCATTATCAGACTTGGGCACAGCGCAGACATTGCACATTTGTGTTCGCACACCAGTCTATTTTATTTATTGTTTTGGTTTTATTTTATCTATGTCTTTATTTATTGGGAATATTTAAATTTATCTTTCACATTGCAATTCCAATTTCTTCAAGAATTAAATGTTCATTACATCAGTGGCATAAAATAGTCTTAAAATGGCAATAATTTTGTTTATTGCAAATATTTCTGGGACAATATATCGTCCAACAACACAGTTTCCGTGAGAGACATAAACCAGTTATTTTGTATGAAAATATAAAACAATACGATGTAACATCAATATGCACAAATATAACGGATAATACAAAAATTCAATTTCCTGCTACCATCTTTGGATTGGGAAACATTTACGCAAATGTATGTGTTCATGCCCAATTTGTACGAATCTATAACCTTATTTTCATACAAAATATCATGTTAATATTACTCTTTAGTCATTTCCAGCTACCAGCATAGGAAATGTTTTGTTATCGTGTTTTTAACAAATAGATTCTATTTTCCTCCACGTGATTATAAGAGAGTCTGGAAATACCTTTTTAAACAGCTGTAAATGTTGATTGTTTTCAGAATAACAGATGTTCTGTGACTCATATGTAATGCAGACACACGAGAGACAAAAACTGGGGCTACCTTGAAGTATGACCAGTTATTGTTGACCTAGAGAAAATACGAGATGAAGACATTCACAGCAGACAGTCAAAATAATCACATGACCGATGATCATCTCAGTGTTGTTTCAGACGCGTTCGCTGCTTTTCCCTCAAAGCATTAGCGTTGACCGTGTATTAGCCTACAGCATACAGGAAACGTTTCCTACGTGCACGTCTACCCCATGATATTACGGAGGAGTTCTAACACATTTACAAGCTACTGATACTTACATACAAAAGGTACAACAAGTACCACAGTCGGTATACACTGGCTTATAATTTGTGACTTTATATATTGTAGTAATATTAATATACCAGGGATTTGTAAAAAGTGACATTGCAGTTTAAACCAGATCTACATCTTCATCATGCAGAGCCAAATGAACTAACTCTTAAACTCTTAACTCTTCTGCTGGTACAAGGCCACTGAGATCTTTATGAGGTATCAAGCAAAGGAACCAAAAAGCGAACAGAAGCGATTCTCTGCAGGAGAAACAAAAAGACATCGTAACAGCAGCAAGATAAGGTACAAACAAATCCTGTAACCCTGAATGAAATGGACACTGGAACTCAGTCTCAAATTGTCAGCGCTAATTAGCAGCATCGTATCGTCAGTGGTGTTCAACGACAACATCATCACAGACACTAGCGTATACAGTTACTAGACAGCTAAGCAGGCTAAGAGGCTCCTGGGTAAAAGCAACAATTTGCCATTTGTCAGTTTAGTTAATGTCCCCCCTTCGATTAAAAAAGGGGAAGTTGTGAAAACAACAGCAACAAAACAGGAACATGTGGAGCAGTTCATTGCATCTTGCTCTTTGCAATAGATACAGAATCTACTGGAGGAACCTTTAAGTGTGGGAATAGCTTAAAACTTGTTTTCAGATTCCCGTCTTCTGCACGATATGAGAGGATACGTCTGCATCGTAGAAGGCGAAGAAGAGCGGAAAAAATGTTTACATCACAGTGTCTCTTTCTTCTGGTCTTTCTGCAGTCTGTTTCCACCACGTTGGCTTCATTTCCAGCTTGGTTTAGCGCCCCTGCTGAACGTCACCAGGTCTCTAGAATGGACGGACTTTTCAGAAATGCTGCTAGTCTTACGAATATCTTCCCTTGTTGGAGGTGGTGGGGGAGTCCCGCTGCGGTAGGCGCTGCGACTGGTTGCTTTCACGCTCTGCACCCGTCGCAGGCTTGTCCCGCGTGGCCGCTCCTCGCTGGTTGGAACCGTGGGCGCCAACTTGTTCTGCTTCGCCGGGCTTTGTCGACCTGGAAGCGAGGGGCTGCGAGACGGGGTGGAGGGGACGGACGGGGCCGCCAGCTCTTTCTTGGTCCTGGAGGTCGAAGCCACGGTGTTGCGGGCGAAGCCGGGGACGTCGGGTGTGTTCTTTGAGCTGAGCGTGGGACAGCTGCTGTTCTCGGAGGAAGCTCCCCCCTGAGCCTGAGCTTGGGCCAGCGCTCTCATGGTGGAGCGGCACATCTTCTCCTCGGGCGCAGGCTTGGGGATGTTCCTCAGGGGTTTGGCGCTCGGCTTGTGGATGGACGCCTTTCTCGGAATCGAATCGCGTGCCCATCTCGAAACGCCGCCTGTGATGCTGCTTGCCCTCTGATCTTTCGACTCATCCGGAGGCAGACTGGAGTGTCGAGGAGGTCTTGTGGTCCTCTCGCTCCTTCCTCTCGCTGGGGTGCTCTGGTCACGGAGAGGCCGGCGCGACCCTCCACTGTCATGCGCCAAAGGTCTCTCCGCTGCCTTGCCGCCACCCGTCCTTGTGAGCTTGCTGATGGGCACCACTTTCCTCATGCCCTGGGTCTCGCTGCTGGTCAGCGTTCGCACAACGTGACCTCCGCTGCTCTTCGGCGCTTTGTTGGCTTTGCTCTTTGTATGCGCTGGTTTTCTGCTGCTTCTCTGCGCATCTTTATCCGCGCCTTGTTTCCCCTCAGCCGTGTCACAGCTCTCCGAGTCCCACTCTTCTGTGGTAGCAGAAGGGGTCATGGATGCTGCGTCCACAGATTTGGGTGCCGAAAGCTCGTTGGTTGAGACGGACTGGTCGTTGGGCGACATGGACTGGCTCTCCGGATCGGTCCTCCTGCGGCCAGTCGTTCTGAAATGAAGTCCTTCTTTCGTTAGAGACGAGCTTTCAACCTCAGAGTAATCAGAGGTGACAGAGCAGTCCGTTTCTGTGCAGTCTAGTACATAAACCGTTGGTTTCTTATTGGATACAGGTGGATCTAATGGGAGGGGTGTATCGCAGGTTGTTGATGAAAATGTGCTGTTGTCCTCTTCTTCTCTCTCAGGAAAGACGCCAGCCTGTGTGGGAGGATCTATTTTCCCTCCCCAGGCCACCTTGGGATCTGCTCCTCTTTCTAAAACGCTATCATGTAGGAGGATGTCCAGATTTATAGGAAGGGACAGTCTGTCCTTTTCCAAATCAGTCACCACGACATCCCCCTGGTTGACAAAGTGCATAGGATTACTATTGTTGTTTGGACTAGGTAGGTCGAAAGCTTGAGGACCTCGAACTAAAGCGTGCGTCTCTACACTAACGTTCATGTGGCCGCTAATCGTTGGGTTGGGGAGATGGGAGGACTTCTGAAAAACACAAAAGGGACGAGGCAGAGCGCTGCCCTCTGACACAGATGAGTAATTATTGCTGTATGGTTCATTATCACTTAGCCCAGAGGAGGAAAACCTGGCCAGCGGGCTGATAGGCTCAGTTTCAGCACGCGGAGACGTCACTTGTCTGTCGCTGTCCAGCTCGCGGTTGTCGTCCTGGGCTAAGATCCAGGGGGTCGTCCTCCGCTGCACGGTGCGGCCCGACCGAGGTAGGCTGTTAAACTTGGAATAGTCAGTGGGATTCCCAGAGCCTCCGAATAGCTCCAGGTATCCTTGGAGTTCTCGGTCCGCTATGGAGGTCATGGTGTGACGGTGGCGGCGGGCGCTGGCGGAGCGTCCCAGCGGACTGTGTGGACTCTGAGACCTCTGCTGGAATAACTCCAGCAGGCCTTCCTTGGTGAGCATCTCCACGTCGTTCTCGCTGCTGCTCCGGCCAAATCCACCGCTCTGATCTGCCCCCGACCAAGCGAACCGCTTTTCCTCCAACTCCCGCAGACGACGCTGTCTGGCCGCTTCCTTTAACTCACGGTCCGTGTTGTCCTGGGAAAAAGAGGAACGTGGAGAAATGTTTACAGGCGGGCAAGAAGACAGGGATGTTACTTTCTATTCATCATATATTTATCATAATTATAGTTTTCGCTGTGGAAAAGTTGGTTTTCTTTTGACTAAACAAAGCCAAAACATTTTGTTTATAGCCCGGCTTCCTGTCGTCTACGTCTTACTTCCTGTTGAAGTGGAACAGTTCGGTTACAACGCATACTTTGGAAAAATCCAACATATCCGTGATCCGATGGCCAGCAAATCCAACGGCCACAAGGGAGCACTGGACCGGTACAGTACGTCGCTCAACCTCCATTGTAATAAAGTACTTCTAGTCTCCGTTTAGTCCGACAATGTGTGCAAGTGTGACATAATGGCGAGATCTGGGAACGACGTCACAACAACAACATCCAACGAAGTCTGATTAGACAGGTTGTAAATAAGTAACACTTTAGCCAGTATTTAAACCACGTCATTTGGAATTAAAACCTAAAGTGAGCCCACAGGAAATGTCAGTAAGAATCCGTAATTGCACAAGAAAATCTATAGAATGAGGAAGTAGATCTGTGTTCTACCTGGCTGTGAGACAATCCCTCCCCCCCCCCCAGGGGACAATAAAGTTAAAGGTGAAGTTGAAAGGTGAGGTTGACTGTAATGGATGGTTACAACAAACAGTTTGGGTATTAATCTTACCGTTACATGTTGTTTTTTTCATTTTGCAATTGAAGTTGACTAAGGTGGCATATTTAAAACGTGTGTATTTGTCTTGTTGGGTTTCCTGTCCAGTCGGACCACTTTTTGCAATGTTGTGTTCCCTGATCCCTGATACAATGTGATTATTACCCGCTAGAATGAGGCACGACTCTACAAAAAGCTGTAAACCAATCCAGAATTATCATGTCACTAAAACTCACCTTCACAGCCTTCTTGAACTTGATGCAGAAGTCCTGAAAGATGCGGAAGCACTCGTCCAGCTTAAAGGTGTCCTTGTCTTCACAAAAGAAGTCGATGAGAGCGTTCCCCTCTTTACGCAGATCCAGCCTGCGTCTCTTCAGGTCCTGCAGTGTCCGCGCTGAACTCTGAGACATCAGGCACATGCATTTTTTTTTTTTATCATTACACTTTTATGGGTGTCATTATTTAAAGCACTTGAGTCAGCAGTGCCAGAAATGTACAGTAGCCTGGAACCAACTTTCTGTGTCTGTGTATATAAAGCATTTCATACTGCTGCTGCTGCTGCCTCTGCTGCTTCACCTGCAGAAAGGGCTCCAGCTGCTGCAGAAGCTCCTGGTCTTCTTGAACTTTCTCCTCCAGGGATTTAATCCGAACATATAAGGAGGAGAACTCCACCTCGATGTTTTCCACTGAGATTCTACATGAAAACATTACAGCAGGGAAATTCAAATCAGGAAAAATGTGCTTAGAGACAATTTTGGTGATTATCACACAGTCCTTATAATACTGCTGAGCATGGCAATATTTGACGACTTTTTAATGAACACACTATCAGAATGTCATCCGTTGAAGGTGAAGATATGACCACAGTGAGAAAAACGTTCACATATCCTGAGGGAGGGAGGGAGGGGTAATCTGGTGCAGGAGCTGTACTGTCTCCACACAGAGACGACCTTGTGAAGCTGACGTAGCCTGAGCCACCAGCATCACAATGCCTTCTAAACATTTGCTCTCAAAGTACTACATGTCCGCGTGTTTAAAGAGGCTGGATGTTGTTGTCACTTCAGCAATAAATACAAATGTTAAAGCTGCGGTTTTAATCAAACGGTTGTACGACTTTTGGCCACACAGAAATAAAACATAAAATAACTATAGGTACTTAAAAAGGTACTTAAAAATTCATGTTACTGCATGTAAAAACATTAAAGAGAGGGTATTATGGAGAATATAATTAATCTAAACTTACTTACTGGTGTCATTAAATAGTACATGAAGCTGCTTTAAATGTGATGGGTGCAGGACGAGTCGTGCAGCAAGCTAACCACAGTTTTTTAACGATACCACAAACCAAATTAAGTTTGTTGAAATTAAACAACCTTTGGGGGAAAATATTCTAAACTTCACGGTCATAATAATGTAATGCCATGTAATGTCTGTTTTGTTACGGCTACGTTTGCGACTGAGTCTGAAGTTTACCTGGCGGCGCTCTGGACATCCTGAAGTTTCTCTGGAAACTTGAGCAGCTTCTCGTCCTTTTTCTTTGCCTCCTGCGTGGAGAGAGAGAGTGAGACAGATCACACAGTTTACATACAAACTGATTTGTTGCCGAGCATGATGACTCGGCATCATTGCATTGTGAAGGCAGGACCGCTCTTAGTTTGGTTATGTAAGTGCCTGGCCAGCCTCTCTTGGCTCTGATTGTCTGTTTCCTGTCACCATCTGCTGTCCACCTGACCTCCTGCAGTCTGTTTACTCATCTACCACTGCTGAGAAAGATTTATACAAAATAACTTATTTGTGTCCGACAAGGTGACTATTGGACTAAAATATGTGTCTCACCTTATTTTGAGTTCACACAATAGAAGGTATGATATTCAATCTAGTAAAGTATATAGAGTAGAGGTTTGACTTAATGCATCCCACTAAGTGAACCTGCAACAATCAATAGCACTGTAAAGCTTTCAATATTAACTTGTATGTTGACATTGTGTCGGAGAAGTGTTTACGTGGTCATTTTCTAACGCCCCACTTTGCCGTATCGTGTTCGGTTACAGACGATAGTGCAGCTCTTAAAAAGTATTGTGTGCGTCATATTGTATAACTGAAGCCTTCACTAACCATGGCGACAAAGTGCAGCAGGTTCATGCCCGGCTTGTTGGCCTTGGTGTCGGCCAATGAGAGGAGGGATGACAGCTTGAAGCCCACAGCGTTGCCTGCGTAACCGCCCTGAGAAGCACAGAAGGACCAATCAAAGATCTCACAGAGACACAAGCAAGACGATGAAGGAGAAGGCTGGTGATATTCTGTATTTCTTCTCTGTGACAAAGATCCAATTTGTTTAAAGGAATATGCTTAATTGCTTTCTTCTCAGAAGTTAAATATATATTTCCAGCCTAATCCTTTAAATCAGGCCGATAGGAGAATGATGTTAATGTATTAGGTGAACATAACTAGTGGACTCACAGCGTTCATGATGTTCCCAGCTTGCAGCACCAGATGCAGGATGGCATGAAGCTCCTCGCAGCCCATCAGCTCTATATGATGAGATCAATACAAACTCACTTAAAGAGAATCCAGAGCAGATCTCAGCAGCCCATCACACACTACTTCACTTTAGCAGCTCCACACAGAACGACCGTCAGCAGGAAGAATGACTCCTACTCATAGAAAGACGACATTAATGTAATTTCGACCAGCTGCCCTTTTAGGACTATCAGAAAGGGTAAATAGTACATACCGTTGAAAGTTTTAATTAAATGGTGTCACAAAAGTTCAACTTAATTTGTCCCATGCGGTGTTTAACTGATGGCTCTGCATTGCAGGGAAAAGGTCACAGTATTGTAGAAGAGGGTTTAAGAAAACTCCAATAAACCACAGAGCGGCAGGACAGTCTGACTCAGCTAAAATTACACCGGCTCAAGGGATGGTTGCAACAAAAAGGCACTGTTAAGTATTTCTAACAGTTTCTTGGTCAGTTTATAAACACAAATGTTTGAGGGTACAGATAAAGGTGTGTGTGGGCCGTGTGTGTGTGTGTGTGTGTGTCATTTTACTGTAAATTACAAATTTAACAACACATGTCATTTTAAGCATGTTGTTGTAGCTCAAGGAATGCGATGTTAGTCGGTCAGACTGAAATACAACTATCAGACGGATTGTCGTGAAATTTAGTTCAGACGTTCACGTCCCTTTCAGGGTTGACTGTACTTTGGTGAACCCTTAACTTTTTATTCAGTGCTATCACCAGGTCAATAGGTCCAATACTTTGGTTTACCAAATACCCGCAGAATGAATATCAGCCTTAGCCGTTAGCATACCAACATAAACTCAAATTGGTGAACACAGTAAACATATCTGCTAAACATCTGCATATAGAGACACGTCATACTGTGTACGCCACCCGGAGGGGAAAAAATAATCGGCGCCACAATATGCAACCAAGGGCTGCTAGCATGGCTCCTAGTCTTGTTTGGTCATGTTTAATGTACAGCATAACATTAGCAACGAGATTGATAAAGACTGAGGTAGCGGGGAGATTTGCAGTATTACAGCAGATAGTGCTAAGAGGCATCGGTAAAAAAACTAAAGTATAATAATTTAGTATACAAACTGTTAAGATATAATAAATAAGTGTCGTAGACAGAATGATCAGACCGAATGTATTATTTATAGGTATTAAAAAAATCAACAGTACAAAGATGACACAGCCTCGTCTTTCCATTCTGTCCCCACATCACCGTATCTCAGGTGACCCATTCCTACTTCTTGTTAAGCAGCTCAAATATCTGGGTCACCTGTCTGAGCACATGTGACTGTGTGTGTGTGTGTGTGCGTGTGTGCATGTGCGTGTGCGTGTGAAGGCAGCAGAGCTGTGTGTTATTACCTCTAGTGGCGACGCGGACGACATCGATCTCGCGGCTCATCACAGCACAGGAAGGGACGAACTCTTCGCGGAGGACAATGGCCTCGATCCGAACGTCGAACCTGTAGGAGACGAAGCCGTTAAATCTGTGATCTGAGGAACTGGCTATGTTTCTGCAGAGAAGCCTCAACATTATTTCCACTGTTACATTTCCAGTATTATGGATGGGGAAACAGGAGGGAACATTATCTACTAGGGATTTTACAACCTTCAAGCCCTGTTTTTGTTTTTGCTAGGATGTATTTTAGGAAGCATTTTGTAATGCCTTGGCCAGGGACTACAGATGAATTAATAGCCTTTCATGGCGTTTTCTTTTTTTTTTTTACCATGTGTATTAATCAATTTGCACTGTTCCTTCTCTCAAATGAACTAAACTAAGTAAATAATAAAAGTAAACTAAGGTCAGTGGAACTTTATTTTAGGCTAAGTGGCAGTGGGAGCTGATGGATGCACCTCCTGATACTCATGACTCATTTAAAAAGTAGTTACTTAATTTAATATTATTGTATTACTTCTCAATTATTCACCCCCGTAGTGAATACAATTGTACTTTAATATGTTATGTGTTGTTGCAAAAAAAAAATGTAAGTAACTTGGAGAGACTTAAATCTTTGCAGGTAATTGTAACGTTTTGGGAAGAGCTTACAAATGCCAACCTTTGCTAATTCTGGTGCATTACAGTTTAAATGCACTGTCCCAGCTAAATAAATGCATACATACAAATACAAAACTTTTGTATGAACACATGTGAGGGACAGGTTTGTTGGAAAGTTCCCACAAAATGCAAATCCTTACTCCCAAAATTGACACTGGAACCCCTTTTTTCATTGGTCGACTCTCCCTTTGGCTGAATGACACTATGTACACACCATTTAAATCAACTTACCGAGGCACCTGGATCAAGAGGAACATAAAGGAATCAACAAGTGTCAGCTTGTCTGAGTCTCCTTTAAACGCCTGAAGTTTCTTGATCTGTCAATAGAGAAAGAGCAAGCTCAGCAGGCTCTATTGTCTTCTATCTACATTCACAGTCTGTTATCACCAGGTTTGGTCTTTTGATTCAAAAAAACATCACACCATTCAGAAATTGCTAAAAAGCCACACAGACATTCATAAACACAAACCTCCTCTACGTCAGGCAGGAGCTTCAGCAGGTCTCTGAGCAGCTCCGCTCCGTAAATCTTTCCCTCTCCTCGTCGTATGTCTTCAACAATGGAGCGGTTGGACCTGAAACACATTCACGTTTATTTCAATTAAACTCACTGATGAACAGCACAGGTGCTCTGTGTTTACAAAGGGACTAAACAAATCCCACAAAATACTGACAGCGACAATGTTCAACTGTATATGCGAGCATTTCTTTGCTCCTTCTTACTCCACGATATTCACAGTTCAACACGTATTTTCAATCACGTCTCATTATCTGTAGTGACATTGATCTGTGACACACCCAAGTCACTAGTGCTGCAACACAATTCCCAATTACATCACTGCTATAAACAAAAAAACAAAACAACATCCAGTAAGCTGACACTTCACAATATGACGTAACCCCGATGCGGTAGCTCGGTGATAACAATATTCAACCCTTGTTGTATCAGATACAAGTTTATCCAACTCTAAGAGTTGCAGGCCGTGTGTTATTTTTGAGCCTAAATACAGGGATTGTTGCATTATTGATTCTCATGAACTGATAAGAGAGAATAACATATTAATATTCAAGTAAGGTGATTGCACACTAATGAAAACAGTCACGGATATTGTATTTCATTTCTGCCGATAAACCCCCCCTTAATCAACACACTGCTGAATGGCTGGAAGAAAAATGTATTAAATGCTATATGACGAGTTCTGTACTTTGAAATGACATCGTGAAAACTGACTCAAAGCATTAATAGGATAGGATAGGGGATACATATAAATGCATATTAGAGATCTACAAAAAATAAACACAACTGGTGATGACTCAGTGCAGTATGGCTGACATTCAAATGTCATTAAAATACAGTGGGGAGCCATGCAAATACACCACCATGCAAAAAAAAAAAAAAGATACCGAAAACACTTTTTGTTCTCTGCTCCACACGACAGACAGAAAACACAACGATCAAACACATCTCCAGATCTAAAATACCTTTCTGAAAACATTTGATGCGAGATTTAGGCAATGTAGTAACAAAACCGTTCATTCATATTTGATCAGCGCTGCAGAGTTTGATAGTTTGATCGGAGTTCACGATCAGTGATTGACAGCTGCGTTAGAGACTCCTCGGCTCTGATTGGTTGGTTTTCTTCGGGGGCGTTAAAATCTCAAGAGCACTGAAAGGAGGCAGAGGAACCTGAGTTCAGTCGCATGTACTGCTGTCTGGATGTAGTGACAGGTTTAAGCAAAAATGCCAAAAAGTAATTTTTATTGAAGTTAGCTTTAATGTTTTTTGAGAGTTTTTTTTATCTCATCCTAAGCGAGGGCGTCGTATGTTGTACAGATTGTAAAGCCTGATTTGTGATATTGGGCTGTATAAATAACATTGACCTGACTTACGGGGGAAACAGAACAGTGGCATTTCCCATCAAATTGATAAAGCGCACTCACATTTCAGTGTTCAGACAGTCACCGGGTAAAATTCATTCATGAATAAAATGAGGACAAGTGTTCGACAGGGTGTGCTGCATGTTTTGGCTCTTTCACAGTCAAGAGTTTGTCATCCGACACATCTGCCCATACGACGTCTGGAGCATTATTTCCAGTCATCGATGCGTCAACTTTACAAAAGTCAAACTGATCATATTTGCTCTTCAGATCCGCACAAACCAGCAACTGCATGGTCATCAACTGACATGCGGGAAATAACACAAAGCTATGCGAAGCAGTCTTTGGAAAGCACTCTCCACCGCCATCATTAAAACACCAGTGAGGGAATAACAAGTCTTATTAGACTCCAGAGAGAATCCATAACAAGGAGCATCACAGCTGCTTGAGGCTTACTAAGACATTTAAGGCTGGGTTTATTTTAATTTGCCTGAAATCTGTAAATACTCCACTGAGCTTTATGGAAGCAGCTCTTCCGTCAGGTAGTGAAGCAGGTGGAAGACTTACTTCTTGAACTGCTTCAGGAAAATTCCCACATTCATCCCCCTCTTGGAGTCAAGGATGCTGATCTGAAAACAAATGAGAGAAGTGATTCAGGAATGTGCCGCAGTTGTGGTCAAACACCCAATGAAACACACATATGAACCCACACCCCTACATTCTTTTAACCACTCCTGATTGTTGTTGCTTGCGTTACCTGGAGTACACCCACCACCACCACCCATAGTCACACTATGAGACACTGAAATTCCACCGGGCCACACTAGGTCCACGCCTCCTTCATCAACAATGGCAACAGGTGACAGTACAGTATGTACATTCTTAAAAAAGGCTCCCTCACAAGACATAATTTGGGCTTTTAAATAGTAATTAGAGACTTTTGTGGTTTGAATGAAATATGATAAAGTACAGGTGAGGAGGAGGAAGATGAGTGAATTTGTTTTTGAAGACATTTTTCAAACAAAAATGACAAATATTTTCTGGTTCTACACTCAAAGAAAAGCTGTAACTGAGCACTGTTGACTAACGTGTCCCTGCAGTGATATCTGAATACAGTGGGTAGAGTTTTGTACTGTATGTATGGTTATGAATCAGGGACTTTCTGATCCTGTCAGTTCAGGACCAGAGGTAACCAGCATGTTATGCACATGTTTGCAAAAATAATGGCAGTGGGCGTAAGAGTTTGTAGGCATTAGGACTCCATAGTTCTACTAATCAAGCTGAGAAGCTGAGATTTGTAATGACAGCATCAGGGACTGAAACAGAATAACAATAATCTAATATTGTCCATTACACATTTTAGAGCATTTCAGTTGGTAGACCTTCATCAGGAGAGATTCAGGCCTGACTGTGACTGATTTCTGGTTTCTTCTCAGTTTACAGAGTTTTCAAGAGACAATAAGGATTAATGGTGTGCAAAACCTTTTAAGAATTTTTTTTTTTTGTTATATATTAGAAGAAAATAATATAAAAACTAAATCTGGAGAACACTTTCCTTGAGTTAAGCAAGTAAAAGAACTTGTGAAAGCATTGTCACACATCACAAATAAGAGCACTTGTGTAATAATCTTATTGGTCTGAAGTAAATCCAGGGAATTATTTACCAGACATGGGCCACTTTAATTCTAAGAGGATTGATGTATAATCACTGTGTCAGCACTCTTAACTCCACCGTCACCTGTCGTCTTTGGTCATGAACATTTTTTTTCAGTGTTGCTGGTGTCAGCACACTCACCTCATCCTTGCTGCTCTCCTTGAAGGAGCGAGTCCTGGAGACACGGGTTGAGGTTCCAGAGGCCGGCGTCCCCCCACGTGCGCCTGTCGCCGTGTCCTCCTGCTGCCCGAACAGCTCCTCCACGGAGCGAACGTCGATCTGATACTGCTGCTGCCGCACCGCCATCGTCCAGATGTTGGGCTTCCCGCGAACCTTCTCCTCCGGTATCGGCTTCCAGAAGAAGCTGCGGACGCGGCGCTTCTTCCGTGCGTTGTGGTTGGTGAAGGTGGGGGGTGGGGGTGGAAGGGGAGGAGGTGGGGGAGCTTCGTGCTTAGAGGTGTGAGGGGCATCGCCGGCGGAAGGTAGGGAGGTGCGAGTGTGTCCAGACATAGAGGAGGGGTCAGAGGTGGTGATGGAGGAAGTGGTGCAGCTGCTTCCCTCGCTGCTGCAGCTCTCCGGTTCATCGGTTACGGATGGACAACTCATAACAAGCATCACAGGGAGAAGCAGTCAGCATATGAGCTGTGGTTCCTCTTTTTTAAAAATTATTTCCAAAAGATTTCCTTTTAACTGCGTCAATTTGCTCTGAAGAACATCAAAATGCTGCAGTGTACATCCCCTCACTGCCGGAAGAAGGTAGATGTCCCTTCATCTGGTCACAATGAAGGGAGCACATCCTTTGATTCTGTCCATCTCCATCACTCAGCTGGTCATCCATCGTGCTGAGCAGAGCCTTTGAAGGTTACCCTCCCAGAGGGAGAGGGCGGGCGGCAGCAGCGATGGCCATGGAGCTACGAAAGCTAACAAAAAAAAGAAACAGCATAGGACAGGATTATACAGAGGTAGTCAGGTGTGTTGTCATGGACAATATGAAATTAGGCGGTAATTAAGGGGTGAGACAGATCAAAAGAGAAGGGGTATCCAGTCAAAGGGGCTCACAATGAGGGAAATGGCAAATCCTATTTTTTCCTATTTTTGAAGGGCTTTGAAGTCGGGCTCTGGTGTGTGTAATGGTCAAGAGACATTACACCCACAGCTTAGCTTCTGTTACACAGTTTGGTATCATTTTCATTCTTAAGGAGTGTGGTGGACAAATGTTGTACCCGCTTTGCGTGACTCTTTTGATGCTGAAATAAAGAATACCAAAAAGCAGAGGTTCTCTATTGTGTTCAATCATCACAACAGAATGCGTGCAGTCTCAGTGAGGAAGAACCAAGAGAAAAGTGAACTCGTTTTCTTTATACACAATGAGCAAAGATGGGGGCCGATGGCCAATGTTACAGACATTTTGGTCTCAGACTGATGGGAACAACAATGGAAAACAAACGGCCAGCAACCAAAACAAGCGGCCCGAAGGCCTTGGTGCTGGAAGATTCTCATACAACACTGTTAGTTATCTTTGTGCACAGGCAAGGGAGAATTCTTCTTTTGCACAACAGAGACACGGTGAAGTTCAACAAAGTTATATACTAAGTAAGTATATACTACGTTAAAAAATGTCTGTATGTCTGTTCAATTATTTCTGGCTGTTTAGTGTTAATCTAATTAATTTCATTCATTTATTTCTCGCAGTATAAGTGTAACCAAGTGAAACCCAACAATTACTAAAAACCAAACCAGACAGATTTACTGATTTAAATCAGAGGAATAGATACTGGTGGACATTCAACATTCAGGACTGACTGTAGTTTAATGGAAAACAACCAGCGGTCTCTTATGTATTCAAACCATCTGCTGCCATAAGAGCCTGTCACGTATAGTAACACCATTAACAAACAACACAGGGCACCAGAAAATAAGTTGAAATTGAGTCGAACTTTGTCAGGTTGCTCTGCAAGGTCACCCTTGAAAAGAATGTGACAGCAAATCCCTCCGAAGCAACTGAAAAGGACATTTATGTCTTGGTACCAGGCCAGCAAACAATAGCACAGCTTAATCTGTAAACTGCACACTATTAGAAGATTAAACCTCTAAAATGTGAGTCATTCTACAAAAAAATTCTAGACTACAACAGTTTTTCAAAAACACCAGAGGATAAAGTATTTATTGATAATGTGGTAAAGGACAATGGGAGAACACAACCAGTCTTCAACCTCACAGAACAAAAGGAAAGGAAGTACTTCCCCTCCCCTCCCTCTCTCCCTCTCTTTGTCAACGGTTGCCCTGTAGCTCTCGGTTGGAGGGAAACTGATTCTGTTTCAGGACCACACATCACTCACTTACAGTGATCTGATACTCTTCTTGGCCTAAACAAAGAGATAAGTGGTTCTTCTGACCAAAAAAAAAAAAAAAAACAGGAGATAAATCAAAGGCATGGTGGTGGATGGGGGCGATAATTGCTGTCAGCAGGTTAACAGAAATAATTTGGTAATTTTCTGTCTTTGGGATGCGTTTAGATAAAAAATAAATAAATAATTGGGACAAAACACTGCATGCATGACCACTTAGTGGTTTCTAGAATCAACTCTCATCTTATAAAACGTGGTAATATCTTAGTAGGAACCTCCGATTCGGTAGCAGCCTTTTCCACCTGATACCCAGGGATGATGAATAATTAAGAATGCAGATGTCACATGTGGCCTCACGTTGCTAACATCAGCCTGCACACTCAGCTGTCCCAGAGCTGGACCACACCGTCGCTCATGTCTAATTCACAAGACTGTGTGAGAACATCTGACCTCACACTGAGTCATCTTCTTCTGTGGTGTTATAAAACGTGGCTACATCTAACAGATGCAGATGGAGATGGAGAACTAAAGAACAAAGAGTTAAACTGTCCCGTCTCTTTTGTTTCCTTTTCTCTCATTATTCTGGTCCTCTCAGCTGCTTTAAAAAGGGAATAGTTTGACATTTTAAGGAATAAATGTATTCGCTAACACTCTCACACACACACTAAATAGAAAGCTACAGCTAGGGGGTGGTTAGCTTAGATTAGCTTAATTTAGCATGCTAGAAACAGGGTGAAACAGTAAAAAAAACAAAAAAACATCGAGTTTACTAACATGATTTATCTTGTTTAATTAATCAGTACAATAAATCAAAGTCTTGAGACTCCAAAGTCACTGCGGCTGGCCAAGAAATAGTCCAGCACTAAATGTGACATAGACGTGCACAAATGCTAACTCATCTCCGGGTTTAAGGACTCATTCAATGCAGCGCTTTTGTGCTCAGGCTCCAGGTACATTAATCCTGCCTCTAAAGAAATCAGCTCTGTGACAGTGATGGATTTGTGGTATTTTACAATTCATTTAATTATATTTCAACCAACCAACAAGGCTGTACCTGACATCCTTTGCCTAAAATGATTTACAGAGGAAACACACCTGTCAGTAACTCTATACAGAGAAGCCCTGAGGGAGAGGAAAGCAGTCAGTGAGTCCGGATTCCCCACATCCACCTGCTGCCGTGAATGAACATAGATTGTGGGGCTGAAGGCCCACCTGTCGTCGACCCCGAGGCATTCCCTATCAGTCTTCATTAGGGACAAGAGATAAGCCCAGATCAGCAGGTCAAAGGTAACATTAATGTAGAAATGGACAGCAGTGGTCTCAAGGAATCAAAGACAAATCCGAGGTAGAGGTTCTGTCGGGTACAGTTACTGAGACCAAACCCAGGACCCAAGACGAGCCAGGAGAATTATTGTGTCTGGTTAGGGGACCTTTCTATTGCTGTTTGTCTCGTGTTGTCACATTTTAGAGGTTGAAACCAAATTATTTAAAATGGTTCGCAGATGAATTATCTGACTATCAGCTAATGAATAGGTTGAGGAGTATGAAAATTATGCAATAGCTTTTGGAGTCACCAGATCTTAATCCACCCATGTGAGATTTTGGGTGGACTTGTCCAAAAGCACCTAGTGAGCAAATATCTTTTAAAAGAATGGTGTTCATCCCTCCAGTCGAAGTCTAGAGACTTAGAGAATCTATGCCAAATCCACTTCATGCGGCCTCGTACTTTCATTTGTCACCCGTCTTTAGTTTCATAATAAACAAAAAGTGACGCACAGAGACCTCTGACTGCCTGCCGGATTATTTTCCTTTTCTTGTTCTATAAAAAACTCCATTCTGAAAAAGTGATTTTAAACCGGAGGTAACTGTCAACAAGGTTCCAGGGAGCCACCTGGTCCAAAACAAATAAAATCCGCTCTCACTCACAACTCTGTAATGCTGAAGGTCGAGGCGCCACCGGCTGCTCTAATAATCCCCTGCTGCTAACTTCCAGTTCACTTTGCTGAGGGTCAGTGAACACCCCGCAGAGCCGAGGTCTTTCACTGACCCCGGAGGGGCGAAGAGGTGCGTTCGGTAGGAATTTGCCCAGTCGTGCTCCATCATCATTACCATGGGAACGCTCGTTAGCAGAGAGACATTTTGTGTAGGGCTCAGTGGGTTGTCGATGTCAGACCTGTTTGTTTTTGATCTCTACTTGTCCAAACGGGGGGGGGGGGGGGGGGGGGCAGTCAGTGACGGGACTTTAGTGGCACTGAGATGTGTTTCAGTGCCCAAGATGACATTCTCAATTGTCTTCTTTTGTCCAAAATTCAAAGATGTTCAGTTTAAAAAGAAAAATACAATATAAAATATGAAGACAATACTCACATTTTTTGATTTAATAGTTGACAACTAATGGATGAATCGTTGCAGCTCTTCTTCACAGCGCTGGCTTATCTCTCCGATTTCCATGTCTTGTTTACAATAGAGAGGACACACAATAGAGAGAGAGAGTAGAGCATATTCTCAGCAACAAAACACACACACACACACACACAGCCACTATTGCTCAGAGACCAAAGACAAAAGGACCGTGCTGCCAAAAATGCTCTTTTCACACACAGAGGATATGAAATGACACCTTTGAGGTGCGTGTAGCAAACAGAGCCAAACGTTTACAGTACAGCGGTTCTAGGCAACAGCAGAGGTACTGCAGTTCACCATTCAGAAGGTGACAGACTGCAATCACGAATGTATTCAAGCCATATAAATCTGGTCTGTTCCATAAATCACATTTGGCTCCCGGCCTCTTCCTCAGACACGGTCAAATAAAGTGGACATTGCTTCTGTGTAAAATAATTGGACAAAATGTGCTTAAGTAAGCCACTAAATATCAAATATCTGGTGAACTGCAGGTCACTCATTACCTCGTGCCACTGGTTGTGTAATGCACCACACTGTACCAGAACAAAACACAGCAGAAAAAGTAGTCTAATCGGGACACGCTGTGGACAAGGAGCCTATTATTCAGGTAAATCCTGGATTTATCAAATATTTTGAGAGATTGAGCGCTTGGTACCGTTATGACTGTGTTCTCTGAGTGAACCCTGGCAAAACCTGACCGAGTAAATTATTCACGTCCCCATGAATAAAGTAAACCCCTCTCCGAACTTAAACGCTGCTGTCCTGAGCAGAGACACACTCAATGGAGCTGACCCAGGAGCAAGTCACCTGTGTGTACATTTATGGCTTAGTGTAATATTTATGACGCAGGAAGCAACCTGTTGTTGAAGGGTAAAATAAACTCAACTTCTGGGTCTTATCGCTAGAAAATAGACATGTTTTCGGCTGTGTCGGGGTTTCTGCAGGGTTCAAGACCTTAAATTGATGACTCTTTCATGATCATATACCAGTATGACGATATGGATTAAAACCAGTAGGGGTGATATGACCAAAGTCTTATACACACCGTGTGTAAGTGGATATTTAACACATACGGACTAATTAGCTCCATATCACCTTTTAAGGGATGAGTCAAACACTTAAGCTTTCAGCCGGACTCCCTTGACACAAAGCAATCACGTTTTGGACTATTTGAGCAAATACATCAATGAGCATGTCAGTCCGTCAGATCAGATAATCCTCATCATGGGAGTCTCCTTCATTTCCTCTACTCACTGCAACCAGTGTGCTTAGCTTTCAACTTTTGTTCAACCGTTGTTAGATTTCAAGTCACTGCTCCTCCCAGGCTCTTTGTTTCCGAAACCATCCCTGATTTAATCCATGATAAAAGCCGGAAGTCATTATTTAGCACCAAAGAGTTAAATCTGGTTAAATCATGTGACGTGTAACTTCAGAAATGACGTTGCAGAATGAGTCAGGCTACATCCAAAAACAATGATACAGTGGGCTCGACATGGGGGATTAACGTGGCTCGACCTAAACTGAACAGTTTCTTCACTCTCAAATCTGCAAAACTGGTGTTAAGGGGATTAGTACATGGTGTTATGTGTCTAGAGTGAGGAGGCCAGGGTGCAGTACTTAGCACTTCATGCCATGTGAAACTAAAGCTGCCATATTGAAGAACATGGATCTCTGCATCACAGGTTTGTCTGCTGAATGTCAGCAGAGGATGATCTCTGTCTGGCTCGTCACCAGTAAGTTCATCATTGTAATTGAATGAAAAAATGCTCCTTAAAAAAGTGAGACGTCTCCTGCAAACAGCATCTTTTTAAAGTCTGCAGTGCGCTGGCCTCTTAAATTAGTTTAAAAACAATGAAGGTGATCTTGATCTAACTTGATCTTCAGAGCAATTACATTTTCCTTAAAACTGTCCCTGATGTTCCTCTGCCTCTCAAAATTGGCACACGATTCACAAGCGTTACTATAAATAGGCCGCAATCTCCCTTCCATCTCTCTCTGCAACAAAGTCCCATTCAGTGTGAGAGGCAGGCCGTCAGCTGGAGGTGACAGGGCTGTCTTTTCAATTCTGAAAGTTTGGTAAACAGCGAGATTATCCTCAAATCTCAATTATCTAGTTTGTAGATACTATAGATGGTGTGTGATAAAACTTGCATGATAATATGCATTTAACAGTAATTTCTTAATTAAACTTAAGGTGCCACATCATTTACTGCCTTAGTATTTAAGTCTTAATCGCTAGTTTTCATATTATTTCTCTTGAGTTTATTCTGACTTTTATCTGTTTTTAGTCTTGCAAAATTCTATCGTTGTGTTATTTATTTATTTTATTTTATTTTTGTCTGTGCCGTTTTAATTAGACTTTGTGCTGCATGATTGTATGAAAGGTGCTAGAAAAATAAAGATGATTGAGTTATTTACTTTATCTTATATTAACAATATGAGATGTATTGGAATTAAAAGCTGGAGATCGGCTGAAACACAAAGACTGCCAACGCTGTCACAAATCATATCATATCTTACATCAGCTCTGCATAGCACCATGTAATAAACACCGAACAATCTAATGGAGATGCATATTGACAAAAACCCTTGACTTCAAAAAAACACCCCAAACTGTCTTGTAAGTGCAGTCGCTTCACTCTGCCTCGTCTTGCTGCACACACACCTGCAGAGCCAGAGAAGGCAGGATTTTGTAAAGACTGTGTGCAGATGCAGTCGCCCCCAACACAACATATCCCCCAAGCTTAGCATAAATCTGGTAATAACAGCCTGTGTCTGAAACGAGGTTCTCAGATTTTGAAGATTAAAGCTGCCAGTTTGCAGAACATGCGATGCTGCTCCGGCAATGGCTGTTTAAACAGGCTTAGGACGGGTTGAGCCAAGACTAATATTGAGGACTATCTCACCTGTAACACCGGTTACAGTCAGCTAACCTGTAACTGAGGAGGGAATTCATCTAATCATAGAACCAACAGTTAAACCTTTCTAAACCTGATTCAAACAATCAAGGAATCTGTACGTATCCTCTTAACGACTGACCAGTCAGAAAAACGACTCACTCGTTACAGTTTTGTTGGTGAACAGCTGATAATAACAACCTCAAACTTACTTCTATTAGGCAGAAATGTTAAACATTTGCTGGTTCCAGCTTCTCAAATGTGATGATTTGCTGCTTATCTCATTTTTTCATTGTTGTGAGCTGAATATCTTTGTGTTTGGGGCTGTTGGTCAAACAAAACAAGCGATTTGAAGACGTCACCTTGAGCTCTGGCACATTGTGAATGGCCCTTGAAACTATTTTCTTACATTTTGTCGTCTTGCTGAGTGAAGGTCTAAACAAACGTCATCAGATTTTATAGACTAAACAATCCAGCCATGAATACGCAGGTTAACTGATAATGAATTCACTATGGTTGGGCATGATGATCTATATACCATGAGACAGCATAAATGTGTCAATTGTCAGACATTTTGCCACGCCATAGTATCTAAACTCAGTGGCCAGTTTATTAGGTACACCTGCGTAATACTGAGAGGTGATTCGAATACATCTTCCACCCATATTTATAACCATGAGAGTAGTCTGAATATTACAGACTAGATATGAAACACCTGATCATGAAGTTGAATCAACACCTCTCTCAGTTTGAACAAAAGCTGAACATTATATCCTTCATGAAAGCAGTGAGATCTTTCACAGGACTGTTGTATGAGACTGCATTTCTTTTGGCTATGGAGTCTTGTGGCTTTGAGGAGAGCGTATTACTTCTATGTTTTAGTATTTTAGTTATCATATAGTCATTACAATGCGCGTCGCAGAGCATTGCACCAGAAAACCGCCGTCGTTTGTCCCGGAAACGGTTATAACATTTGCTACTAAAGACAAAAAGCCAGATGTTTGGAAAGAGGCTTAATACATTGGAAACAGAGTGTATATCTTAAAAAGGTGTTCTGACAGTCCGTACCGCCTCCCCAGCACGACAGACTGACAAAATCAGCAACTAGCTGGTGAACACAGTGGAGCATTTAGTCGTTAAAGAGCCAGATATTTCCCACAGGTGTTGGTGGAGACCAAAACAGAGCTAAAAGGAGTGAATATTTAACTCCAACTCGTCAGGTGGACACAAAGAGTTTACTTTAAATACTGTTATCACAATTAAAACCAACACAGAGGAATTAATCCATATGACTCACTTCTAATAGGAACGAAACTCTCTCATACATACATTTTCCATAAGTAATTTACGCTTCAGATCATAAAACAAACACTGAATCGCCTGATAACTAAAATACAAAAGGCATTACTCACCCAGAGAAAAAGAAACCCAGGTGAAACAAAACCCACTCAGGCGAGGAAATGACAGGAAGGAGGGATGAGATGGGACAGAGTACACCATCTGCGAAGCTACGGATCAAAAACAGAGCTTTGACTCTTCTCCCGTTTGTTCTTTTGTTAACAGGTGATCGGTGTCTGGCCTGCAGCACACCACTGCATCTGCATCGCCTCTGCCTCGGCTCAGCAATTGTTGCTCCAGCAATCTGAGCTCGGGTGCCAAGATCAGCCTTTAGGCAAATCTTGCCGTACCTCTTGGCTTTCACAGTCTTGTGCAGCATTAAAGCAACGTCTGCCACGGAGGATTACAGATTAATCACACAGTTTGCATCAGAAGAAACACGGTTTACTTCAAACTCGCTTAAACCAACAGATCCTGATTAAGGTTAGGACGATAGGTGACAAATAAGGCAGGTGTTCAGGTCACCATGGAGACAACAGCAGGGAAATGCAAACATGTTTACATGGCGGTGGGGAAAAGTGTTTGCCCAAGGGCCCAGAGACACAGCAGGCTTCATTAAAATACAGTTTAATACCTATGAAATATTACTTACAGGCACTCAGGTCCCATTGCAGACTCTCGCAAAACACAGGAGCCACTAAGCAGTGTTCATAAATCCCCAAAACAATATTATTTTTTTTGCCTGAAAAGCTGCGTCAGGTATCGACACTTTTCTTACGCTTTATTTTGGGCTTTATTGTCTTTATTAGAACGTTTGTAGCTGAGAGATCGGGGTGGTAACAGGTGGGAGTTTGGGGTGTGACATAAGAGACAGGCATGCAACCAAGATCACTTTGATTCTCTTCTGTCTTCTTTTGTTGCATTTCTTTTTTGAACCTCTTTTACTGCTTTTTTAAGACAAGGACAGATTTTTCAGGAAATAAAGACCACTCGAGTTGACCCAAGTTGGCGACAACTATTTAGCACTTCTCCTGCTCCCACAGAAATAAATCAAGCCCCCCCAGAATCTTCCTCCCCGGGGATGACGTCAGAGAATTGAGTTTTCCGCGTTACTCTCGGCTTCCACAGCAACCGGGGGGGTGGGGGGTGACACCGCCCACACCGCCCTCTCCCTTGACCTGACCCGGGGAGAAACCCTTTTTTTTTTTTTTCCATAGGGGTATTGTTCCCAACACTTGAATGGACTGCCCTCTAATTCATCTCAGCATGTATAGTAGTGTACAAAAGCCAAGGAAGCCGGGGTCTGAGGTGCAGAACAAAACCAACAGGGGCAGAGTTATAAAGCCATACATGCTGAACTAAAAGGGCTGTAAGTTCCGTGAGTGAATCCACAACAACCGCCACCAACTCTGAAACACTGCTTCTTATGCCAGCAATCGCTTTAACGTGGGATAAAAATGCCCATCGAACATACAGAGCTGTGTTTAACCTTTTGTGGCAGCAAACAAAATCCATCTGAAGCAACCATAAAGTGTCAAAAACTGGAAATTAGCAGCAAATGTCTCGATAGATCAGAACACAGAGCTTTGTTGAATTATTTCTTGGTCAGACAGTACATTTTAAAACTGTTTTATTTAGGCAAAGTTCTCGTGTGATTGGCAGTGAAAAGACATTTAAAAAGTGAGAACTTTGGCTAGTTTTGGATTAATTAAAACAAAAGATTTTGTAGGAAAGTATCGGGAAAAGTATCACATTGTTGTCAAATACCAGAATATATAATGCAAATATTGAAACATTGAAAACTATATCCAGCCCAAATACAACATGTATGGATCATGCCAAACATAAACGCTTCAGTCATCTGCAAAAAGAGACTATTAATAGAAACTGTTACTCCAACATGGAAAACTATTATATTGCGAGTATTCTGGTAATGACGTGTTGTCTTTTTCTGTTGATCAGTGTGTAACACAATTAAACATGAAAACTCCCAAAGGAGATTATTCTAGGCACCATATATCTTTTTCTTTGTGCGTTTACCTCGTTTAAGTTACAATGTGGTTGCTTGAATGACATTCACACCTTTAGGTTGAAACAACAACAACAAACCAATGTCTCCTCTGTGTTTACATTGCCAATGTACAATAGTGCAACAGCTTCAGGCCTCAAATTACACTAAATCTTCATTATGATGTAATTTTGGACCTCGACTGCATTGCAGGACACCTTCTGTTGTCCCCTTTAAAGCTAAACGAGACAGTGGTAGGAAGGTCAAATGCTCTGCTTGGATAAAGATTGAATGTGCAGACACCACTCTACAATGACTTTTCTTTGCAGTTGCAGCAGGTCGTTACATAGCTCACATACACGCACGCGCGCACGCGCACGCACGCACACACACACACAGCGTGATGCGGCGGTGCCGTCCTGCTTGACTTACCAGAGGGATGAGAGGGGCTCGCCGGGACGCGTAACGCGCTCCGACACCGTTGGAGTTAGTGGTCGATACTTTTCAGAGGAGAAAATCTGCGCTGCGTTCCAGGTTATCAGCCGGTCAGGTGAGCTGGCGTCCTGCAGCACACACGGGGCAGAAACACTCAGCAGCAGCAGCAGCAGACGACGGTGTTGTGAGCTTCCTCGTACGTGATAGGGCCAGGTGGAACAGGCGCGTTCACGTGTCCCATGCGCGCGACCGGCTTGTGACCACTGGTGCAATCTTAAGGCTACAACCTTATATATCAGGTGAGTTCATATATTAAGGTGCATTTAATAAGGTTTGAGAAGTACTTTTACTCAAGTACAAATTTGAGGTACTTGTGCTTCCAGTTTATACAACTTTACATTTCTACTCCACTACATCTCAGAGGGACATATTGTGCTTTTTACTCCACTGCATTTATCTAGCAGTAGTTCAGATTAGCTCCATCTTGACCAAATGCAACAGTAAAATGCTGCGTTTACGTTAATGCATCTGTAATATTAATCCAACAATATATATAAAGTATAGCTACCACTCTGAATGGGGCCGATGTGCATAACGCATGCTTTTCACTGTTGAATGCACAACTTACTCTGTGCTATTGCTCTTTACTTCAGTAAAGGGTCTGAATACTTTTTCCAGCACTGGTTTTGAGATATTAGCATTGTACTTACATTTTTAGCAAAAATCAACTTTTATTACGCCTCATTTCTGAGAGAAATATCGTACTTTTACCACATTTCTCTGAAGGTTGTCCTTTTCAAGAAAAACAGCCTTGTTTCAGCTCGATGATATCATGCATTTTAGACATCATTGCGAGAGGTTTGGACTATTTTACATTTCTTTCTGTCTCTTTATTTTGTCCATCATTATGTTTATCCTGCTGTTCTTTCCTCCGTCACGATTTTGACATCCCAAAAATCCATCCAAACTTGGAGATAAAACAGCAAAATATTGGATACTTGAGAACATTTTACTGCTTAAACCCCGTTTACTTTTAACTAACAATTTCAATTTCTAAAACCCGCAACTTCAGTTTTTTTTCAGGAAAAAATGTTGTTTTACACTAGTGACAGAATTATGTTGATCGCTGCTTAAATATGATTTAACGACTGATGATTTTTTGAAGTCCACCTGTTGATCGGCTGGAGAAGAGGGGGTTCACATTTTTGCCCAGTCTTCTAAATCTTGTAAGTAAATAGTTCTATTAAGTCTTCTTTTTGTATTTGATTTTGCATTTGGCAGAACCCGCTGATTCTGTAATTGATAAATTATCATTTAGCACCATTCTGATCCAAATAAAGCTCAAAATGAGACAGATTAAGTTCTGCTGGTATAAAATAGATTCACGGTAAATCAAAGAATTAAACGCTGTTAAAAAATAATGAACTAGACAAAAATAAAAAACTAGATTTAAAAGTACATCAGAACTTTTTCTTTTCATTCACATATTTGGGACAAAAACATACATCCTCCCAATTTCTGCACAAATCACTCAGCTACAAAATAAGTTTAAAACAATTAAAAAGTGGAAATAGTTATGTTACTGAATTAAATGCATTTACTAATAAAGCATTTACATTTTTAAATTGCAGTTTGACTTGAAAACTTAAGACTGCAGCGCTCCGTTCATTTCCACTGAGAAACATTAACCTGCTGCTGCAAGTCTGGTTAAAGGAAATCTATTTGCTTTGCCAGATTTGATCATCTGATTGACAGAGTGAACGCATCACCTTGTCTGTGACAAACATCCTCAATGCTTTTCTGAGGATTAACCAGATCCTGTCAAGTGTATACTCGAGGGGTGTGGTGGGGTTGTGATTATGACAACCTAAAGGGAAACCTAAAAGCACCTGGGCTTAAGTCAACACAAGTCATTTTGAATCCACGTCAGCAGATTATAAACCACTGCCGACTTTCTGGACGGGAACAAAAAACAGGATGAATGCAGAAAAGGTTTACTCGAAATATTATTGTAAAATGTTATGGGGCGTATCATAAGCTTTTCTTGGCCCCTCAGTGAGAACGTCTGCATCTCTTTCTGCTGTAGCCTTCTCGCTTCACATTTCTTTGTTGGCCCCTGGTGGTGACTTCTCATACGAGCTGCTACTACAAACACCACTAGATGATAAAGAAAAGAAACTTTAATCTTCCCAAAGAGTTTACACAACATTCGCAATCCTTTCCTTCACCCAACATTTGTTAATGTTTCATCATTACAAAGGTAAAAGACCCACTAGCACATCAGCCTGTAGGTCTTCAGGAAAAACAGACAAAAACAAAGCCAAATGGCAGCATTGGTCGTAAACTACAAGGTGAAATAGAGAAAATTACAAATATATATCCATCTATTTCAGGGAAACAATAGATTGTTGTACAAGATTCACACTCTCAAACTGCTATGGTGAGCCATAGGAAAAGTACAAATCAACAAAGTGAGGACGTGACAGCTGGTTATCAATAACAGCGTACAGTATATCCTCTTTGAAAAATATACTTTTATGTAGCCCAATGAAACAAACTGAGCAGCTCAGACAAAAGATGCTTCTTTCAAATTTACAAAAAGTTAATCGTATTTTGGTTTCCCCCCCTCACATATCATACAGTTTTATTTAATTAGTCTCAAATGCATAAATGTGCATATGTGCAATATGGATAAATATCTTTGAAATCAGCAAGTCTTAAAACATATTTAGACTTTCTGAATGTTACTGGAGTGTGTTTTTAACACAGCTATCATGTGTGTGTTGTGTCGAGTGTTTAAACATGTACAGTTGTACAGGCTCTAACTGTACTGTCCTCTGAGAGTGTGTGTGTGAGTGTGTGTTTGGTCCATTCTCTTCCTTCAAGAGTTGGTCCTCAAAACTGGAAGTGAAAGCGCCTTTTTTCCAACAGCAAGATCAAATATTGAAGCGCGGCGGGGAAGAGAAGAACAAATTCAAGAATTCAAGGCACATTTAGTCACATAAGGCTGCTCCTTCATTGTCTCTGGAATCGAAGAGAATCAAACACTTTTACCCATTTAGCCAAATGCCAAACGGAGAATAATATCGATTAAATATAGCATCCTGTCGGCATAATCACTTCACAACATTTAGGATTTGTTGTGAACAGATGGATGAACAGAAAATAGGATTTTAACATATCAATTTAAAGAAATAGTTTTACATCTTGGGAAAGACTCTTATTTGTTTTTAGGTCGAGAGCTAGACGAGAAGATCAAAACCATTTTCATGTTTGTACATTTAATATAAAGCTACAGCCTGCAACTGGTTAGCTTAGCTTAGCATAAAGACTGGAATCAGGGGGAAACTGTTAGCCTAGCTCGGTCCTAAGGCACATAACCTCATTTAAAATCACATCTTTATTTTTTTACAGTTTTTTTTATGTTAGTGAGGTTATGAGGTGCTGGTAGGCTGAATTTTGTTCACCTTTGGAGAGAGCCAGGTTACCCTGACCGCTAACCGTTTTCAGTCTTTACGCTAAGCTAAGCTAACCATCTGTAGTCTTATATTGAACAAACTCTCAGCAAGAAAGCAAATAAGTGCATTTCCAAAAATGTTAAGCTACCACTTTAATCAGAGTTTTCTGGCCAGTTTGCATGCATGATCCATAAATCTGAATGCTGCTTCCTGATCAGATTTATCAACTGATAAAGAGTAAATGATGTGCAACAGGCAGTCGTTTTGATCCCGAAGCTGTCCTTACAGAGCCAACAAGTCTGCCGTGCTGAGATACAACATTCATATGCTGGATTGCAAAAGGCCATTTACAGTTTCCAAATGTGTTTACTGCAGCAACTCGTGTTCATCAGATGTATCAAACAGTTCAAAAGTGCGTTTCCTATGATTTCAAATCACTGCAAGACGAAAACGATGATTTAACAACAAGAGTAAAAGGATTGTAGGAAGTTTTTTTTTTTTTTTTCATTTTGCGTATTGAATTAAAAGATTAACAATTGTGAAAGTTTGAAAGGCAGTGACAGTCGAGTTGAAAAGGGAAAGGGAGGGTCCTGTAGATTTTGACATTTCCTGTCAAACTGAGCCGCTGGGGCTTCAAACGGAGTGATTAGTGCTCTTCCAGCCAAGATGGACTGTCCCCACCTGGCATTTTCAACTTGATGTGGAACTGCTTGAGTGTCTGTTCCAGCTGCTGTTGGTTTCCTGCGTAGTACGCAGCGATGGCATTGTGGAACAGGATGAGCTGGTTATGCAACACCTTCACCTGTTTGGGGACAGGAAATAAAGAGACGGTGAGCACACTTGGAATGTAAAGCCATTATGTGGGTGTCGAGCAGAAGAACTCTGAAGCCGACCTTGTTCTCTTCCAAGAACTTCAGCTTGACGGAGACGTCGTTTCGCATCCTCTCGTACTTCTCGCGGTGGATCTGGAACTGCTGCTGGGAGAGCTCGATCTTGGGCATGGTGGTGGCATCACGTGGCCCCAGATTCAACTCCTCCAGATCTGTACGGTACGCGTCATACTCAACCCTAGACGTGTAGTAATCAAAACGAACATCACTACAGCTTTAATATGCATTCATTCACATGTATGCTTAGAATATTTCTGTGCTGAAGTCACTGCTTGTATGAGAGTGGACATGTTAGCTTGCATTAGGAGTTAGTGGGCCTTCTTATTGTGAAGAATCAGCAAGTTCTGTTTTCACATGAAGCGTGTAAACATGGCGTTTGCCACTAAAGCTGTTAAATTTAAACATAATATCAACGCCTTTTCTTTATCACAAATAACACCCTTTGCAGTGCTTGAGGTAAGGACAGTAGAGTTTCTCTGGAGGTCTTTGATCTCAGAAAAGATCCAGAGAAACGTTTTCTCCAAACGGTTAGATGACATTTTGTGGTTTGGAGATGGTGCCCACACATGATCATGCATTACCTACCTGGCAAATTCATACTGTTTGATGTTAACCAGGGTGTCTTCAATTGTTTTGTCCACGAGTGTGTTCACACTGGAGATGAAGGAGTTGATGGCACCCAGCAGAGTGTCTCCGTTTTTGGACAAAAGCTTTTGGGTGTCAGCGTTGTAACCAAACTCCTCCTAAAGAACAGAGTCAAACTAGTTTTAGTGGATTTTGCTTATTTGGAGCCGTTGTCTGCAGTGGCTACTGCAGGTGCCAACATCATACGATACATTTTACAAATATACAGAAGTGATGGTGGTTGTCAAAACTATATGTGTGAAACAATGCTTGCATCAATCAAACACAAACATTTAATCTAAAGGGAGATCAATTCCTGGTTGTTTTCCTGCACAGGTTTGCATCTATGGCCGTCAAAAGAAGTGTCATCACTTGATCATTTTATCCCATTAGACATTTGTGTCAAATTGTCATAATTAGTATTTGAGTTATGGCCATTTTTTTGAGGTCACAGTGACCTTTGACCACCAAAATCTGATCGTTTCATCCTTGAGTTCAAGGGGACGTTTATGTCAAATTTGAAGAAATTCCCTTCTGGTGTGCCGTGATATCGCGTGCACAAGAATGGTCCGGGCATATGGACAACCCAAAAACATAATGCACTCACTCAAAAATGAGAAAGAATGCACTTGTTATTTGAATAATGGAGCAATAAAGATAAATCATCTAACACAATTAGAGGACTCAGAGGAAGCGGAGAACCCAAACTTCAATTATGCAAGACTCTTTACTGCCTTTTAAGCCATTACCTTGTGATGCTTCAATAGAATACAGATAAACAGTAATCTAAGGGATCAGAGTAGATGACCCACAAGTCAATACTGCATTATTTTATGACTCTTTGCCGGGACGCTGTGCCAGGATGATAACACGCCCCTTCCCGTTTATCCAACCCAATCTGATTGATTACAAGGCATGGAAATATATGGACTCACGTGCAGTTCTGGTGACTTGAGGCTGAGGTCGGCGAAGGCGTCGCCCAGCTGCCTCTGCGTCTGCATTATCTGGGACAGCTGACCGGACAGAGTCTGAGCCAGCTTGATTACATTCTGGTACTTTCTCTTATTGTCGCGGAGGACTTCGATTTGAGCCTCCAGCTCCAGGTCCACGGTCCTCGAGCCCCGACCCAGCTTCTCTGACAGGATCTGCCTGGTACACTGCAGAGGACAGAGCATTTTGAAACATTAGGAGTGACTGGAGGGAGGGAGTCGCTACAACACAGTCTAAAACAAGCAAGGATATCAACAATTTGTGTTTTTTTCAGTTTGGGGCATAGTTCACTTTTTCTGCCAACACCCTAATGAACAGAGAGAAGATACAGATTGAGAGCTGAGAGAAGAAGCAGGGTGAGGAGGGACATAACAGAATAAATCAAGGACAGAGAGGATTACTTTATATGTGTTGATGCTCCACTTCCTCACTAGGTCCAGTTTTTCCATGGTTGGGCTCTTTAAGTCATCTGAAAGGACCACCGCGTCACTCTTTGGCTCTGTATTCATCACGCCTGGACAATTAAAAGTCATTCACTTATTGGGTGATTAAGTTATTGGGTTTGCAGGCTAGAGAGCTGTGGTGAAAATGAAGGGAAGTACAATTTAAAGTGTTACAATCATCAAACAGCGTGATGAGGTTGTCATGTTAACACTGAAACTTTAACATTAAATTTAAGGCATTAGGAGAACGCTGATGACATCTATGGTTATTAAAATCACAATGAACATTAAAACACAATTAGTCATGACTTACCATTTTCAGAAAACAGTCACAGTAAAAGGGATGAAAAGTGCTTTATTGTGGTTTGGGCACAAGAGGGGAAATGCTGGAAGATTTTGAGTGCAGAAACTGACAAAATATATATAAAAGGATATCAGATAAGTAAAAAATATAGCTGAAATAATCATAATATTATTGTCAGTTGAAGGGCCCGTGTGAAGCATTACGGGGGATCTATTAGCAGAAATGTAATATAATATTCATAACTATGTTTTCCTTGGTGTAGAATCACCTTCATATTTACACAGGGAGCGGTTCCTCTTGACGGAGTCCGCCATGTTTCTACAGTAGCCCAGAATGGACAAACCAAACACTGGCTCGAGGGCCTTTCAAGTTTATGTGGTTGCAATCTGCAAGCACACTGTTAGATGCCACCAAATCCTACACGCTGTCCCTTTAAATATTTTAAATGTTTTTTTGATTTTATTAACCAATTGGTAGTAAAGGATTTTTGTCCTCACCAACTGAATGAGGGTTAAAAGCAGAGTGTAAAAAAATGATCCATTCTGTTCTATCTTTTACTAGTCTGACAACCTTTTGCAATATTTGTCACTTTCGGGACTCCATAGTGAGAGACTGGGGGAGACTATGGGTGCGAACTTTTGCAAGGACAAAAGGTTACAAGCAGGAAAACCCGCTGCGATTAAGTGTGAAAGCAGTTGTGTTCCCAGCCAAGCAAATGCTTTAGGCATCTAAAGGTTTCATCAGACCGAGAGATCCTGAGAAAATGACTCTAAGGGGTCATTCTCTAAAGACAAAGACTGGAGAACCAATAAACAAGAAAGGAGAAGAAGGAAGGTCTGATTCTGAATGGAGTGCAGCCTGTGGGAACAAGGAGCAGGTAAGAAACTGGTGAAAACCAAGAAAAGGTACGACAGGCCTGCGGTTAATTCAGTGTGCAAATGGTGACAATTCAGTATCATCTGATTCATACTCCTTTCGCTGCTGGTACCTTTCTCAGCCTGACTATCGCTGGAAGAGCGCGCCAGGCGGCTAGCAACAGCCGAGCTGGGAGCTACAGGTGTCACGGGAGACGCGGGCAGGCTTGCTGACCCTGGGAGATATTCAGAGTTACGATTCATTAGTATGTCACCACCCAGCCTACACAAGCGTAAAGGGGGGGGAACTTCTCATTGATGTTGGTTTCCTGTGCGTGTTTTTTCTTATCGCGGTGGCTCTCTCCATGTCGCAGGATGAACGTGTCAATGAACAAAAGCCTACCTCAACCAGTGTCAATAACATGGAAAATAGCCATGGCAACATGGTGGCAGACAGGCTACAACAGCTCCCCGCTCTATGGGGAGATTTGCATTTGTAACAAGGGCATGACGATGAATAGGACAGGAGGGTTACAACGTGGAGATCAGAGGAAAATTAAATTCAATTGGATGTTCACCTTTACAAATTCAAATTTCACTGAGATTAAAACCCAAAAAGTGGAGCACTGTGAATGCACGGAGAGAAAGATCGTCTGTAAACACAGAATGCTGCAAAGCGATCAGATAAACGGTGAGTAAGGAAACGGTGCATTACACAAGAAGGAGAGATGTGTTACCTTTGTACAGTCCTGATTCAATGATGCCTTCTGTTGTTGAAGCAAAGTTGCTGGAGGTGACACAGGACTCTGAAAGGTTTAGGGCCCCAGGGCCACTCGGGTAAGAGTCCTGTGAAAAATGAAATCAAACAGGGTTTATATCAATAGTTGATAGCAGACAGGGAACTTTAAGTACTTTCTGTATGTGTGTCACCAAACATTTTAAATTTACACACAAATAAGTACAATAGATTTAGATCAGCTCATCAATAAAAGCCTCAATAATCTCTCTGAAAGTCTTTTATTGTACGTTTACTTCAGTAAAAATGAATAAACATGCTCTCCAAACACCTGCTCCCTCCTGTCTGCTAACCTTTACTCATTGTTCAGCCGCACTTTGAATAAGTGATGTCTGTGCTTTCCCCTTAAACGGAAATATAATTGTATTATTTGGGGGAAATGCTTGATCGTGTAGAAGCACACATGTCATAACATGTACAGTACGTCACTAATGATTGACGTTAACTCACTGCAAACCTAAAGTAGCGAGCCGCAGCTGTACGGTGCACTGTCGATAAACCTGTGTATGCATTTTTACAATCAGTGGCTGATTTAACATCTTGAAGCTGCACACGTTCTTGTGGTTGTGGCATCTTCCCTGCCACAGACTGTCAGTGTGACTGTGGAGCCATTAGAGGTAAACAGCAGGCCATCTGGACGCACACTGCCTGCTCAGTCAGATGGATGAGGACGAGCGGGCACCCCGAGGTCTCCAACTAAAGCACTTCACTGCAGAAGGATCTGACCTAGAGTGTCTGAGAGTGTCCCTACTTCACAGAACAAAACCTATTTTGTAGATCTGACAGACAACCTAACAAGGGTTATGTTGTTTATACAAACACAATCTTTCAAAGAAAGGACTTTGAAGACCTCGTCAAAGTTTTTGTTTAAACTCATATTGACAATTACACAGTTTGGAGAGATGCTGTTCTCAAGACGAAGCCCTTACCCTCTGGAACAGGGTCTCAGGGCTCTGATCCAGGTCTCCATTGCTGGTGACTGGGATCTCAGCGGCTGAGCTTCTGTGGGACTCTTCAGTCATTGTGGCTTCCTATAACGAAGAGGGCGAAATGAAGCCGGTTATTCCTTTAAAGCTTTCCCAAACAACTTCAAAGAGAGAGAGAGAGAGACCGCCGTTAAGAAAAGAGGACTCAGGATCCAGGACACAATAGTTGTGGGCTGGCTGCCATCTTGTGGACACGGCCATGGTGGAAATCGGCAGCTCAACATTGATGATAAACGTTGTGGGTTCCATATAGTGATGACAGGATTGAGAGTGATATCTGGGCAAACACATTGGTGACAACAATTTGAAAGTTAAACACATACAATACAAAAATGACCACTGATTTCAGCTAAACTGTGCCACCCCAAGAAAATGTTTGCAATAAACATGCCTGTATTCAGGTAAATACTCCCTCTTTCTGTGATTTTTGTCATCAATTTTCAGGACAGAATGAAGATCTTAGTGAAGTATAAGTCAGTTATGTTGCAGCATTTAGCAGGATAGCTGAGGTTCTTGTGCAACAACTAGCATCAATTTTCGACACACCCCTATTTTACAACACTGTTTCTGTTTAATTACTAAACACTGCAGGATGGAATACGTTACAGATTGCATTGCACCATTGTCACTCTTTACATGCATACATTTAGTATCGTAAACGCATGATCTAATGCGTCATAAAGGTTTAGTGCATCATGGCTCCACCCATGCAAAAAAAAAAAAAAAAGAAAAGGGAATCAAGCCGTTATCTGTTAACATCTGCTGTTCTCCAATGCAATGTTTTGGACCGACAACATCTGGTTTCTCGTTGCCACGTTCATGTCAGCATTTCCTACATTTTACAGTGACATCAATATGTTCAGACCACATTAAACCCTGTGTGTCATGTTTTATAACTGGCCATTTTGTGGTCAAACTTGGAAAGATCCTGTGATGCAGCAAACACGCATGGAACAAAAAGAGCTGCTATAATCTTCATGAAAACATACAAATCATGGTTCCTCCTAATTGTGCCTGTGGATAAAAATGACACAGTGGCAACATCAGTTTTGTTCAGCCTATAATAAACTAGATGTCTGAAGATTCAGCTGTGTTAGTTTTAGTACAATTTATGGCCTAGTCACCGTGGACTTAGGAAGTAGGACACTGACCTAACACTGTAAGTGGAAACGCTTTACATGCGAGAGCTCTGAGAGGTCTGGTCGGGTAAAGCTGGTTAATGTGGATTAATGACACGCCTGGAAAAGAGGCCAACACAGAAACAATGTATTATAAAGCAATAAATCTGAATGTTCATCTGTGAACAAGCTCCTTCAGCTATAGGCGGACCTTGACGAGGGTCTTAAATAATGCAAATAGCTACCAGATCAAATGGTAATGAGATCTGGGACTGACTGACTGGTTTCACTGTGTGAGCAAAAAGGTGAGTTTAAAATCATAGGCTTATATTAATAACACATTACATATCAAAGCTAAAATGATGCATTTACTGACAGCAACAAGCTCATTCTATGAAAGAATGCTAAACTTAAAAGAGACAAAGATTTAAATGCGAGGTCCTTCTAAAATAAAGTAGTATATCTATAATATATAGTATATATATATAAGCTGTGTGGCAGGAAGTGATCACAACGTGTCATCTGATACTGTATGGGTTAAATCTCATGTAAAGAACCTGGTGTGTTAGGAAATCCTGCTCTCTGGAAGTCAAACTCGCCTCTACTAAAGCCAGAACCAAAAGAAGTCCTACATGCTCAACCAGAATATAACATATTAAAAAAAGACTAAAGTGTTCATGTTGGCATGTGTAACAAAGACTTTGTGTCATGTGACAAGACATAAATACTTAAAAGGCCATATGACGCCCGCATGCAGGCAGATCAACACAGACATGCACTGGTAGGCTTGTCCAGCAACCTACTGCAGATAAACTGCCCGATAATCCTCCGACATCAAGTTGAAACAGGTTGTCTGGGAGAGACACATCACCGATTGCATGCATTTCTAAAACGGGGAGTAAATTAAGACAGATTGTAATGACATTTGCTGACAAGCACCGTTTGTTTTCTTATTATTTAGCTGCGGTTGTTGCAGAACTATCTCAATTTAAGATGCATCTTATACTGCAACAGAACCGATTCAGCCGGGGAGGACCAGGGGTCTCAAAGCCAATACGACCCAACCCAACATCTGCAAACACTCTGCAAGAAAGTTTGGGAATAAATGTCAGCCTGCTGGAGCAAAGTGGCTGCAAATTAATCAGGCATATGAAAAGGCATTATACATGGCAAGTCATCGTGTGCCGATCCCTACAGTTCAGTCTCCTGGATACAAGCTAAAACAACGTGGGAGGAAGGGATAACAACAATATCCTAATTGTCCCAATTAGCTGGGTCAGCTGAAGAGGAAAGAATCATGGCTTGCCTCTCACAGTACAGAAGAACGTGACACAGCCGTGTTGCACAAAGCCGGGTTTAAGCTGCAGAAAGGACGGAAAACGTATCTTAACGTGAGACCCGACTACTACTGTGAGGCATTTAAGGCTACTAAATGAAGAGAAGATGATTTGAAATTCTTGCAATCTGACGTGCAATACTGGCACTTAACCCAAAAACGTGAATCAACAGCGTGAGGAGTCACACATTCCAGCAACACAAGAGTTGTGGGACTGCCAAGAAAATGTGCAGTCAGGACCCAAAATCTGTTTCACTCACCCAGTCACGTGTTTGACGGTATGTAGAATTTAAGAGCTCAATGTACCCAACTTACAAACAGGGATCCATTGTGAGGAAATGGTGTCATTTGCACATCATGTACACAAAGAGTCACTGTCCAAGAAAACAAGGCAACATGTAGAGAAGTGTATACTTACTGACTTGTACTTTACAATAGTATACATAGAGATTGCATGGTAATAAAGAACAATAAATCCTTCTCAACAATCACTTTGAGATAAGCCAGCATTTACACAAAGCAGAGGAAATGTACGAGGCCTTGATCGTCCCCAAACACGAAAGGCACCTCACAGAGAAGCACACGAGTAACAGAAAGCAAGCCACCAACGGCACCATCAACACAGAGCGACAGCTACACATTCCTAAAACCTCCAGCAAAGCACAATCAAATCTGAGACACCTCTACCGGGGCGAAGCAAATATGTTGAGGCCTCTGATTATAAATAGGAAAGAGACCACCACCATCACAGTAAGAAAAGATTGGAGAAGCAACATGAACAAGAGCACAGTAAGGAAGCGCTTAAGTGACGGTAAACATCACCTTTGTTTCAGTGTGAGACTCTCCACTTTCCTCGGGTGTTTCAGCGCTTTCAACATGACGATTTGTCTCCTGTCCCTCATGTTCTACACTGTCAGACATGTGTGCAGCATCGCTGTCACTGCACGTCACTGCACTCTCCCTCTGAATGCCCTCATCCGCCTCCAGAATGGCCTCGTCACCGTTTTCTGCATTTTCTTCAGCGCTGTCAATATCAATGTCGTACAGCACATCGTCTGTGTCATCTCTTCGCCTACTGTCATCTACACTCTCCTGTTTTTCATCCTCACTCAAACTCTCTTCCGATTTTTCAGCCCCCTCACAATCCATCTGAGAGTCCTCGGCTGAGGTCTTCCCCGATTCAGCCTCAAGACTAACTTCAGACATACCTGAAAACAGACAGATAGAAGGGTATAAATAGGTCCTACCGAGCCATCTGACAGCTTGTAGTAGCACCAAAACAGTACAATAAAAGGAGTGCAAAACAAACCAACTCACAGTTTGTACCTGGATGTGAATATTATTAGTTATTGGTTTATTTATTTGGATTGTTGAATGACATTTACTGCTACAACTGTTTTTTCTAAGCATCTGGAGCACCAGGACTGGTAAAACAGGTTTCTACTATTCCTGCCACGCTATTTTTAGACGGTAGCTGGAAATGACATATCTCCTTGCTAATTTTGTACAACACAAGACAAATATTAAATACATTATTGTGAGTGAAGGTATGCAGTATAGATAGCCTTAATTGTTACCACGGACAGATAACAGACTGATCATTTTGGCTCATGTCCTGCAAACCAAGCAAAGACTTATTTCCAACCAACACCATTTGTATCACTTTGTAACTTGCCTTAGTTTGTGATTTACAAATATAGACTACTTGATCTGGCCTTCATCAGTAAGACATATACAAACAAGCACATATCAGTTTGAAAACACTAAACCAACCTTCGCCTTGGACATATATACACACATGCGGGGCTCAGTGCTGGCAAGGCGGGGCTTAGTGCTGGCAATGCTAAGGTGTGAATTTCCAGGTTTTCAGCACCCTGCAGGAAGATATGAGCCATTTATATGTCGATTGCTATGTGAGATTGGGTACTTTAATGAAGAAACGACGTGGATGCCATTACTCGCACAGTTAGACAGTCACAAATGCGCAGCTGGTGGCACAATTAGCCTACCTGTTGCAGCACACAGTCACGTGACTGGCAAGGGCGTCCAAAAGTAATAAAGTACTTATAAATGCTGGTAACGACACATCATATGAGGAACTGCCAGTGTTATATTGCAAGGTTAAGGTTATTCGGAGAGCAAAACACTCGACAGACATTAACGTAGTTTAGCTTTAGGACGTCCACTAATTCTAGTTAACGTGTATCAGAGCAGCTGACGTGTTTGCTAACGTTAACCGAGCTAAACAGCAGACAACGAACCGATACTAAACTTAAATAAAGGCACTTTAAATGGCCGTTATAATAGTATTTCGCCAAGATGTGAAACTCTAAGGGAATGGCGATGCTCAAAACTTTTGGTCAACATTAACTCACCTGTCTGCGGTCGTGTGGCTAACTGTGTAGCTGCGAACGGTTAGCCGTTGTTCACTGAGATCCTCGGTACTGTACTGGGCGTCTTTTTTGAAAGGCAGTGTGCCTGATGCTAATGCAAACGTTGCATAGATATACTACCAATGTACCATCGATGGTCCTCGACTCTGCTTAACACTAGGCTTGCTGTTTGAACCCCGGAAAGACTGACCCAATGTGCGGGCCCTCGGCTGTCATCTGAAGCAGAGACCGCATCGTTTGCAAATCGCTGCATGCGCTCTCCCCCTGCTGTTAAAACATGCTCCTTGCAGTTTGTGTCCAAGGTCTAAAATAAGTTAAATTAATTTTATTCATTCATTCATTTTAAAATTACCAAATTTTGGGTAAAACACGACAGTGAACAGGCTAATATGCTGGTTAAGTCTTGCTCAAAAATGTGTATCTCAGCTACAACGGTACACCTTCTTCCACTGTAGCTTGCTACAATGTGATAATACACAACAAACTCCATTTCCCAGAAGCCCCGGGTACGTGGAACGCACAGTTGCGTTACAACGCAAACTGCCAAGTTGAGGCAGCACAGCTAGAGGCCATATTGGAATCTATGAAGTCGGGTTTTGCACTTTGATGGAACTGAGTGTCTAGTCGTTTTGGGGAGTCTCTAAATCGCTATCCCGGACTTATACCCGAGTGATCGCGCCAGTATTCCACTCGAGACCCTGCCAAGTGTGGACGGCACGTTGTCTCGCTTCTTTTGTGGAAAAAAAATGAGTCCAACCGATGCTAAACGAGGGGCTAAACGCAGGAAGAACAAGCGGGGCGGTGGCAGTAGTTGCAGTGCTGTCTGCAACACCAGCGGTGGCAAGGCCGGGGTTGCCTCGGCCCTTGGCTGTGCGGGAACAGCAACACCTGCCTCTGTCGTCAGTTTCTTAACAACTGGCAATACGGGCAACGGGAATATCGGGTCCATCACGGGCATAAACGGAGAGGTACGAGTGTCACGCGTTGTAAACCGGTGGATGTCAAAAACGGAGTGACTAGCTAGCAGCGCTATCAACGACACACATCTGATTTGGGCCCGACACTGATGCGAGGAGGGCAGCTAGCGAACTAACGTATGCGTAGCTGGACATTAACTGGCTTAATTACCGCTAATGCTGGTTGTTGCGCTTTGTGGTGTACAGTGCCAGCTAGCAAGTAGTCTAGCCGTGTAGTCAAACCGGCCTCGGTATATGGTATTACACTGTCGTAAACATTAGCGTTACGGCTACGTGTGTCGAACGCTGTGACTACCATCGTTAGCTCAAGTTAAGATATCACAGATGAATCGACAACAACTTAAGTCACTAAGAAGCGTTATTTATTAGCAAATGCAGTCCAGGTACGTTGGGTGGAGATTACATGGGCTAAACAAAAGATTTAGGAGAACCATAAGGTTCAACACAGTTGGACCATAAGGCTGCTTTTACGCAGATAAACATGAATGCTAGCTAATGCTAACAGTGAATAGTACTAACAACTTCAGCCCCGTCGGGCCTCGATGTGTACGAGCTGACCTTCCATTTTTCTTGCTTTATAAAGAATTTAACCTGGTTATATTCACCAGATAATAAGCTAAACAGACTAACCGCCTGCAGATATCTAAAGTAGCTTAGTTTTACGCCATTGGCACAAAAAAACTTTAAGTTACAGGGACACCATAAGATGTTAGCTAATTTCTTTGTAACTGACCTGTGTTTGAAAGTTAAACTTCAAGATGTAGATTCAAAAGTCCATTGGTTAGTTTTGGGGTCAATTAAGTCGATACGTTTTTACACAAATTGCCAAAAGAGCTAAGAAACCATAAAGTAGATATTACTAGGTACAAGTGGGGCCTGAACATCGGCTATGGACACATTGTGTTTATATTGTAGTCTGTGTCTTTCCTGAGCAGGCCTGACAGTATCACTTAACACATTTTAGAAGATTGTAAACTGTAATCTAGACTTCAAAACGTAATAATTACCGGTGCACTAACTCTGATTAATCAAGTGTGTCACTTCTATGTAAACATTGAGCTGTTTGTATCCCTCAGGTAAGCAACAGTGTTACACCACAGTTTACGGAAGGACCAGTGAATGCTGACTTCTCCGGGGTCCTTCAGGTAAGTTCACATCAGGTGTTTCAGAAGTTTATCTGAAGCCACAGTTAGATTTATCAAAAACGTACACCTTTACGCCAGAACCTTAGGCACACTAGAAGGGGAAGCACACTACAAGAAGGCTTAAAGTTGCTCTTTGTTTATTTGCCTTTACACATAACATTTTAAACGTTTAGTGTCTGAAGTGACATAACTGTCACAAATATCAAGAATATTCAATTCTGATGGGGCACCAAACGGTCTTGTGCTCTGCCACAGCATGACATCAAGATGGTTCAACATCTGTATTTGCACTACACATCTGGAACGTGGCTGGAACCGGTGTTGTCGTTTTGTGACAGCCCGCCCTAAGTGATCAATTGCAGCAGTGGTTCCCGTCTCTGCAGCATTTTTTTTGACAGCGGTGTTAGAAAGCTGCATATGCGTTATCAGCACTATGTTAGCATCTAGCCATATGTAAAGTGACTGTCATTGAAACATTGTCTTGAATGAAAAATTTGACCTAAACCAAACTTCATATTGTCCTGTCGTTAAGATCTTGGACAGTGAAATCAATATTCACAAACATGGATAACCAGCTAAACTGAATGTCACAGCATCGGGACGATTAATGGCGATATTATATCCAAATGAGTGCTTTTTGAATGTATGCCGTACCGCATATGAGGGACTGTGCCCATATCCCGGTAAAGTCTCTTGTCAAAAAGCCAAAATGTTCTTTCAAAACTAAATTAATCTCATTGACGGCTCTAACAAAAGTATTGACATGTGCGTTCAAATATGTTGTACTGCTTTTGTGCATCAATGTAGTAAGTAACCATTCATGCTGTAACAATGTGTTTTGCGTGTATTGTTAAGAATAAAATACTTTATTCAGCACATACAACAAATCCAATAAAGCACCCTGCGCGTTTACAAAATAGCTTTTGCTTTTATTTTTTTAATTTTGTGTTTTTGTTATGCTGACAAGAAATTACTCTAAATAAGTCAGGCAAAAAAAAGTCTCAATTATAATACTTAATAAATTGAAAGTCAAAATGTGAGGAACATTGCTTTTTTTGTTGTATTCAATTGTGACACAATTATACTGGATTGAACCAGATTATTTTAGTTGTTACGCCCCGTTTGGCCTTTGCAGTTTACCAAAATATACAGTCAAGATAAGAAATCCCCAGAAAATACCACTGCTGGAGGAGTGAATCAAGCTGAGTGACCCACAACTCCCACAGATTGAGAAACTCATGGAAACTCCTGGTACACCTATAAACTGTTGCTGAAATAGATGCAAAGCAACCTTTTCCTTTTTTTAAATCCCCAAAGGCATTTTCCTCTCTGACAAACTGCACCAATGTGGAGATCATTGAAACTCCTGACTGGTAATTATGTGTTTGTGCCACACTGTGGTTCACTCACTGAGGAGGCTGCACATGAAGAAAAAGTTTCGGTGTTTTAATGGCGGTTTACACAGCTGGTGTACCCAGAATGCAATGCCTTACAAAGGAAGAGAGTGTGACCTACCTTGATATCAAGCAGACATACTGCATTGCAGACTGGTTCATCCTGGAGACAGTTATTTTCAATTTGCACATTATTTTTTAGTTTCGTTTGACAATCCATATTGATTTACATGTTTTTGAAAATTATAATTAAATATTATAATTATTATTTATGTGAATGTTTGTGTGGCCGGGTACCTTATGATTTATTCTTCCTCCTACTAAATACTCGCCACAGACCCCGTTCACGTTCGGCTTGAACCAGAGGGCTCCCTACACGGCTGGCGATAGCTGCCTCTTATGCCGATGTGAGCGCAAAGACAGTTGCGTGCCTCCAGAGGCAGGGATCGCGGGCCAGAACGGTACGGCACAGCCCAACAAGACACCCAGCGCCCTCCAGCTGCCTCTGTGGGTGTGCTCCGACTGCAGGCGCACAGTGGAGAAGGAGGACCGACACACTGCTCTGGAGCAGTCTTTGGGGGTAAGACACCCAGGTAGAGAGAGTTTTGAAGGTGTTGGAAGTTCAAAGATGATGGGCAAAAAGTTTGCGTGTGCAGTGAGGAAAAAACTGCGGGTCCTGTAGTTCTTTGGAGTCCGTGGAATCATTCAAACATCATCCGTCTCAGCAGTGATACATCTGCCGTTTAACTCGCACAGCTGCAGCCAGTCTTTCAGGGGATGGTGTAGCTCTCGTGTTCACATCCGTTTCTTTGCCAGAAAAGCAGAGCAACCAGAAATAACAGCTGTTAAAAACAAATAACAAAAACGTTACAAACATTCTCTAATTTCATATTTTGACTTTGCTTCACTTTGAACTACAGCTAGTTAACAGTAACTAGGCCATAGAATGCAAATGATGTCAAGTTCTTAAAACAAAGGACAATGCAGTGGATCAACGACTATATTCTTTTCAGTATGTGTAACCGTAACTGTTGTTAACACTTTGTAGTTGGATTTGCTTTACACGTCAGAGCATGACTGTAATTATGCTCTCTGGCCTATGTTGTGTGAATGCCACGATGTCTGAGACTAATGCCTCTTCAAATACAGAGCGTCTTTATGTTAGACAGCCTGGCTATGTGCTCAGCTTGTGTCTTTGTCAGGACAACACCAATATAGAAGTGGAAACATCTTGTGATTAAACATTGAATTGTTTTTACCTGTGTGCTTTGATTAAGTGCAAGTTGTGAGCAGTTATTTGTTGTATAGACTCGAAGCAGTAGTTTCATATTCCATATTTCATTTTTTTTAGCAGAGCCAAAGGCTGACTGTCGTCACTGTTTACACATTTCTGCTGTGTTGTGTGTTTGCTACATTTTGGTTGTGTGAACTGAGCCTCAAGTAAACTCTTGTCAATCAGAAATAATGTGTAGTCATCTCTGCCGACTACAATTATTGTATTTACACAGAGGTACATTCTGCGTCATTTTGCTGCTTGCACATTGATGACGTGTCTCTGAGTTCTGGGAAGTTCCTGAATCATTACTCAAGCACATACTTAGATTAGGAAACCAAAAATGTGAAATTAAAAACGGCAAATAGGGAGTTCCATATTGTAGCAGAATTTCAAAAGTAACACGTGCGTGTTAGGTGCAATATTTCTTTACTACAATGACACATGGGCTCAAAGACATACACTGCCTTACTGACCTGTTATACTACGTTTACACTTGTACATATGCAAGTCAATTGTTAACACTAGTCAAAGTTGTACAACTCTAAACTGTATTGAGTACCTCGTGCGGTTGTAGCTGTTGCATTGTTGAGCTGGTTCATATACTATACGATAAGGCTTTATATTAAGGCTGTCAGGTATGTCAGAG